CTCCATCACTGCTGCTGCTGCTGCTGCTGCTGCCACGCTGCTGGTCGCAGGGGGAGTGAGGTCATCTGTTTTGCCCTATTTTTTGGCCCTTGCTGATGACGTCCAGGAAACGCGTCATAATTTATACTTGTTTGTTTTATTTATTACTTGCACTAAACAAACGTGGAGTGATAGTCTCTATTTTTGACCATTAGAGAACAAATTAATATGTTTTATTTTTAATGTTTTTTTTTTTTTTTCTGATTCGCTTCAGTTGAGGTTACTTTATTTTGAAAGTATCTAGCGGAAGTCGTGGCAGTCTTGACGACTTTATATTTAAATTTAATTAATTTAATATTTTATATTATTATTATTAGTTAAATTGAATTAAATTTAAGTTTTGAATGAAATTATGAAGTTACAGAAAATAGTAAGAATGTTAAAATATATCGTCATTTAGGTAAGCTACCTATCCGTAGCGTGTTGCTTAGCGACCACCTTAAAAAAACAAAAACTATAATGTTGTTATTGATTTTTAAATATATAAAAACATAAATAATGATATAATTACATGCTTTGTTTGTTTGGTATTACATAGACCAATAAACCAGATTATTTAAGAGTTTTTGTGCATCTAATTAATCCAAAAACTATCAACACTGGCGCTATATGCAAAAGAAAAATGGTTTTAAACTTCCAACCAAACGCTACAAGTCAACTTAGTTAAAGTCATAAAATGTTTTATTAATCTCTACATAAACCTTAATTTCTCCAACTTTTGTCACAATGTGATATCTTGAGCAGTTTATAGTATTTTAAGACCAAAAAGAGTAAATTACTGAGGCACTAACAAGCTTTTTTTTCTCTCAATAAGTTTTAATAAGATCAAGAAAGTGATGTTCAGTGATGCAGTGATTACACAGACTCATGTAGGCAAAAGAAAACCCACCAATCAGTAATAACAGTAAAATATATTTTATATTTGTATACAATTTGCTGATGTTACTGTGATTTTCCTACTGAATTTTAGTCAGACAGAATATAAACAAACATTAAAAAAGAGGAAAAGGACAACATATACACACGTAACTTAAAATAAAACACTAAGACATTAATTAGTGAACACAAAAAAGGGTCCAGTATATACAATTCAGGAGGATCTACTAAAAAAAATTGAATATTAGTGTATAATCACCAGAATATAGGAATTATGATCCGTTATGAGCCATTTATATCTACAGACACCACAGACAAACCTGTCTTTGTCTTTGTTTATGATGTTTTTACAGTCCCAATAATTGAGAATAAGTGATGATACAGCACTCAACATTAATACCGGAGAGGTTACAACTCTAAGTGGTGTTGTACGTAACTGAACTTTCCCATCTTTCTCTTTAGAGACTTGCATATCACATGTGTCTGGAGAGAGTGCGAGCTGTACCACTGTCCCTTCTGCAAGCCGTCTGTCTACAAGCCAAAAGCAGACTATGCAAGTGTTTGGACACATGTAGAAATCCACAGAATGAGGGCCTTACAACATAGAGGTCAGAATATATAGAGATCCCTGCGACATTATATCCACTTTGATGAATTTTGTTCTTTCTTTGCAGAGTTTAATATCCATTTGTGTCATTTGCAGTGCAGAGGAGAAAGACATTTCCACTGTCCGTACTGTGCAAGGACAATTATAACTCGGAAACACTTTGAAAGTCATTTCAAAGTGCATCCAGTCTGCTGCTCTGAGTGCTTCTCCTGCTCAACCTCACTCCCCCTTTTCAGCCAACTATCACATTGGGACAGTGTCCTGCTCCACCCAAGACCCTCCTGTTAAACCAAAATCCACAGCAGACCAGCATCCTGCTACTCCACCTGACCCACCTGTCGTGCCTACAACCCCGGTGGACCACCTCTCTACTTTAACAGCCAAGCCGGGTCAAATATCCAGAAAAATAAAATGTCCAATGTGCAACCTCTACTTACATAAGAAGAATGTAAGGAAACATAAACTCAGGAAACAAGTTGGGAAGATTTTTTGTGACATACAATGTAAAGGGAAGGTTGTGGCATTGTGATTGTTCTCCAGGGAGGATTTCCTGCTTGCACAAATGTACAGCCCAGTGGTATCTCTTCCAAACCAACAAAGAGTTATTTACCTCAAACGCCAAACGAGACGCAGCTCTGAACCTTGATGAATTAATGCAAGAAGCCTCCACAGAGAAGTCACCTGGAATAGTTTATCCTCGAGGAGAAAAAGGAATAAATGGACAATTGGCAAAGTACATCTACAACCCAAAAAATTAGCCCTCCACGTTTCCAGAAAATCACCCAGTTTGAAACGCGCTTTTCAAAGCATCTGACCTGAATGTGTAACCAGTTAATGGTTGCTTATACTCTTCATGCAGGAGTCATTCAGTAGTTTTTACTACAATAAACCTTCTGTGTGAGTCAAGCAAAAGTATGCTTGAGTTGGAGATTATAGCACTCAAATCCAACCCTGGTTTATCACCATTCTTTTGTAGTATTGGTATTAAAATCAGTACATTTCTAACAGTACTTAACCCAATTAAAGTTTCCCAAACTATCACAATTGTACTAAATACCCAGGGCTCAAATGCACTGGTGGAAACTGAATGCAGAAATGAACCTCTAACACAATCTGACTTCTCTCTCTCTCTCTGTCTGTTTTTAGCCAAATATGTTTGTACACAGATTGAATATTTAAGTCTACACTTACAGGGAGATAACAGGTGAAGGTATTGATAATAATCAGTGCAGCCCTGTGTATGTCACAGTATAATATAGTAAACAAAAATAAAAACATGGCAGCTCAGGCTATTGAAGCCAATTGGAGCAACTGTATTCAAGAGATATTGTATATTTAATGTCACTGCAGGATCTTTTTAAATGTGAACAAGGTGACTGAATGAAACTGTGTCTTTGTGATAAAGCAATGCGGAAAATGTTATCAGGTGCAAATTAAAAAAAACAAACAGAAAACGAGTTTGACGGCTAAAGGTACAAACAGTGAAGTGAAAAGACACGTGGGGTTATAACGGAAGTTACCTGGGTTGCTTTCAAACTAAGATGAAGGGTAAAGATAAGATAAGATAAGATATTCCTTTATTTATTCCCCTTAGGAGAAATTCAGGTTGACACAGCAGCAATAGGGCAAAGAAGTGCAAAAAC